ATTCATTCAACAGGCACATGGCTGCTCTACGTTTCTTTTTCTTTGAGAAGACAGGTTATAAATGGACAACCAACCAAAACAAATATGAACTCTACTAAATTATTGCACCAGGGTTTCGACTCATGGGTGATCAACGCGTTAGCCCGAGAATATTCTCCTGATTCGCCCAACGGACCCCGTAGAATACATACACATGATAACTGTGACGAAACATTACGCGTTATACTTAAGTAGCTTCGAGAATTTCACGGTCATCGGAAATCCCCTTCTGATTTCAGAAATGAATTAGCATAACCACTATTATTTCAGTGGAGTTTGAACCCTCAGCGATTATCCAGTTTATAGTGTATTCAATTACTCGAGCAAACCTAATAACATACCAGGTTTCCCTCCATTAAACAAGGGTTTCAGACATTTGTAATCATGAAAAAGTTTCAAAAGCGCAGTATTTTACATAAGTAAAATTTCAAAAACTGAACATGGCCATTACTATGAGATACACTACTCTTTGGCATCAGACGTCGATGATCACTGCTGAAACGGATTTCTACAAATAAATTTAAGTTTTAAAATTTATCTGCATTTACCGTAAGATATAGATCAGCATGATTGGATCTGGCATGCGATCGTTCACTTCGCTTTAAACACTGCCTACTCTACGCAAAATCAATATCGAGATTAGATTCAGCACAGACAACATTATATAACTGAATATATTTGGGAGGAACAACAGTGAAACGTGTACTTTGTGAACTTAAGCAATGGACAACCTCATATATCAAGGTTATCCTTCGTACAAAAAAATATATTGTGCAATTCAATGTCATAATTCATTTAACTCTGAAATAACGAATATGTTCTTGTTCTAAAATTGCCATGTTAAAAAGCCGATTCACGTTGCCTTTCATAATAAATTACTCTCTTGTATTCGAAATTTCAGACATTAATCAAAATCGAATTCTTGTTCAATTGAAAAGCAGCAATAACTCACTGCTCTGATTCACGGACAAACGCGTAGGTTTATTCTAACGTTTGAAGGTTTCTACTTCAAAACTGCCAAACCAGCTAAAGACGATAGTTCCGTTCTAAACGGGAGGGTAGTTCAAAATATTCAGCAAGATATTTTGCTGACTTGAAGTGCGCAGATGATGTGTTTATTCAGATTATCACGATAATCCGTTTGCATAACCAGAATGTCTCTGGTTTACGATATCATTTGAATCAAAGGCTTTATCACCAGCAGAAGGAAATATTCCTCTAAGAAAGCAGATTCGCCTCTACCTTGTTCCTACATCTTGCATACTGGCCTCTCCTGATCGATTTCTGCCTTTCTGCAGCAACACGAGATGCACACGGGCTGGACTACATGTTTTATGTTCAACCAGTTTGTCTAACAGCGCTAACCTCCATTCCTTAATCTCTGTTCCCACAAAGGTCACCTGTGCCCAGAAGAAAATTTAGTCATTTCTTAAATGGGCCTGCCGCGTAACCCTCATTATGGATCTAAGCCAACAGTCATGCATGCAGTTCAACCCCGTTCTTGCTCCAACGTTAGAACAACTATCTCCATGGCGTACAACAACAATGACTTTATGGAGGCAAGATACAGGTGGATTTTTACGGAAAGACCTTCTCCGCCCAAATACCTAACAGGCTTGCAAAAGCACTCGAAGAGTATGAGGGCGAGCCTCTCATTTAACTCTTTGTCAACAGTGTCATCGCTGGAGACAACGGAACGGAGATACTCAA